ACCCTAGAACGCCAGAACACAAAGTGGAGGTTCAAGTTCAAATGTCACTATTTTTGCTTCATTGCTCAAAAACATTCTCAGACTCTATCCTACCCGAACATTTACAAAGAAATCCTTATGTAAATTGTTTTTTGTCAAACAAAGACAAGTAACCTTACAAGGATCACTTGTGTCTCTTCCGAGCATTAGCAATGTATATGATTGGCAGAAGGATCTTGATGATCTTACCTCTAGAAACGTCACCAAGTTCTTATCAAAGTCTGGACATGATCTTTAAAATTTTCGCGGAGTTTTCATTGAAGATTTACCTCCTGTTGAAGAATTGATCTGATGAAATATCTTTATATACAAATTTGAAGTACATGGTGGAGATTACGTGGGAGAATTGGCACGTCCAAGTGTTGGAAGGTTTGACAAGACAGTCAAACTGTTGCGATTCAACAATCATATTATTCATAAAAATGATATTGATTCTTTCTTCAAGTGTTTTCGATGTCCTAGCTATGGCTGTTTCTTCAACAGTCGGACAATTTCAACAGACATCTTATGACTTGTAAAGATTGAATGCGACCCAATTATCCAAAGAACGTATATATAGATATACAGTTCGAGAAACGCTATTTCAAAAGTTAAAAGGTTTCAAGACACCAGTTTTGAAAGATAACATAATATTCAACAACCTACCCATTTTCGATTTTGAGTCGATATGTGTTCCATCAGATCAACTGAAAGCTACCCAAACAACAACCTGGAGTGAAAAACACAGTCAAATTTCTGTATCAATATCGTCGAACTTGATAGATGGACCGATTTTTATTTATAACAAGGATCCGCAAAAACTTATTATAGACTTGGTAATCAATCTCGAACTTTTGGCTGAGAAAAGTAAGCTCGAAATGAGATCTAAATTTCAAGATGTTGAAAGAGTAGTGAAGAAGCGGATGTCAAAAATGTTTAAAGAGTTCAATGGAATATATCAAAAACATCCATCTGGAAGTTTGGAATATGAAGACGAAAGTATAGAGGACACAGAGGACACAGATAAGTCAACCCAGTTTTTGATAATGCAAAAAAATCAGCTGACTTATTTGAAACAAAACCTGGAGAGGTACGTTAACACGTTGCCCGGATTTATCAGTGGAAGAAATGATCTGAACTTGATCAAGAGCTATCTCTGATTTCCTATTTAATCAACGATAGAGAAGCTGAACCAATGGTTATCGAAAAGGCTTACGATTTCATATCCTTCAAAATTGGAGAGATAAAGTTCCTTGATATCTTGAACATTTTTGGTGAAGCAACATTTCTAGACTCCTACAAAGCCAGTGAGACAAAGGTTTTTTCCCTTATGAGTAAATTGACAGTGCGGAAAAGCTCGAGAATGAAGACCTACCTCCATACCAAGCCTTTTTCAGTAAACGGAGAAACAGCAACCCTCTTGATAAAGACTTTAAGGAATATCAGAACTAGAGGTCAAGTGGACTTGATGAACAGCAAGCACTAAAGACGATTTAAATCAAGTCAGTACCCGCATCTGGAATGGATAATTACAAACATTTAAACGAGGTTCGGCAGAAACATGTAATGATTATATTTAAAGAATTTTTTGCAGTGGTACAACAGCAAAGATATTGTTCCAACTCTTGGAGCAATGCCAAAAACGGTTCAATTTTATCACCAGAAAGAAGTTGATATCTAAAATTTTGGATGTACGCTTCCAAACCTGGCAAATATTTGTCTGCACAAATCAACAAATGGAAAATTCTACATATTTTGCGAAAATGATTGATTTGTGCGAAAAAATTAGAGAAGATATGACGGAACATCAAATGTGTTTACGCGGAAAGTTGTTGTGGACAAAATTTTTATCAGAGATTCATCAAATATCTGCAAATCAACCATTGGAATTGATGCGAGTCAGTTCTATCCCTATGCAATATGTCAAGATATGCCAACAGGTTTGTACAAATGATGGGAATTTGATTCCGATATGCAAAAACTCAAAGCTAGTTATAACCAATCTTACAATTTTGAGAACATGTTCATGTCTTACTACCATGAAAAAAAGCAGAATGCAGAATTGAGAGTTTTCACGCATCTGGAAGTCAAAAGAAAACTGACTGTTTTAATGTAGATGGATATTGCGATCACTGCAAAACAGTGTTTGAAGCTATGGGATGCTATAACCTTTTCTGCCCTGCCAAGAGACTTGTCCCTCCCTGAGCGATGTTGATAATGAGAGAGGAAACCAAAGGAGAGAGATGGATGATTTGAGACGTGAGTATATTCGCGAAAAAGATACAAATCCAAGAGATGTGGGAATGTGAGTTGTGGCAAAACTTCAAACCGAACAAAAAAATCAAGAACCATATCCGATCCAACTTTACCTAGGAAAATCCTCTCTCTACTGAATCTTTATTGGAAAAAATAAGAGATTAATCCCTTGAAGGCTATATTCAAATTGACTTAGTTGTTCCAGTTGAACTGAGAGGAAAATTCGCTAATTCTTCTCAAATTTTCAAAAACACTGAAGTTGAAAGAAAAAATATCGGGGAAAACGTGAGCAAAAATATGCCATTGAAAATGACCTTCTTATGGATCCCCAGCGAATGCTAATATCTTGTTCCAAACTGGAAAACGATTCCATCATTACTACTCTCTTCAATTTCTATATGGAACTTGGTTTACAGTGTACAAAAATTTACCGCTTTGTACAGTATCTCCCTCGAAAAACTTTCAACAAGTTTGTGCAGTCAGTTGTTGATGCTAGAAGGGAAGGAGATGAGAACCCCTTATCTGGTGTTGTTGCAGAGACTAAGAAAATCCTAGGTAATTCATCCTACGGTTACAAGATAATGATTGATCGATACGTACGATCACAAAGAACTTAAATGATGAGAAAACCTACAAAGCAATTAATGAACCACTGCTCAAACCAGTGAACACTGCTCAGAAAACTTGTACAAAATTGAATTACCAAAGTCGACATATGAGCACAAAGAACCCATAATTTTCGAATTTTTCATTCTGCAGTATGCAACGCTGAGAATGCTTGAGCTCTAGTATAATTTTTTTTGACAAGTTTTAGTTGCGATGTAAATAAGTTGGAGGAATTAGAAATGGACACGGACACGCTGTTTTAAGCTATTGCTGAGGAAAATTTTTATGGTTGTATTCGTCCGGAAAAAAAAGATGACTGGGAAAAATAAAAAAATGATTGCAGAGATTCATTTAGCGGATTAAAAAACAATTTTTTTCCACGAACAAGTTGTAGCGTTTACAAGAAACACAATAAACGAGAACCTGGACTGTTTAAAGAAGGATTTAAGTGTACGGAGATGCAATGCTTATGTAGCAAGACTTATTCTTGCTATGATAACAAATCAGACAAGATTAATTTTAGCACCAAAGGATTGAATAAAAGAATTCTAGAGGAATCCGGCGTCTGGAAATTACAGGAATCCGAAATCTGGAAATTACAGGAAATTACTCGACGAAGCAATCAACTTGACTTCAACAAACAGAGTAGTTAGAATCATCAATCTTATGGATGCTACATACGTGCAAACAAAGAAGAGATTGAGCTACTTTTACTCGAAAAGACAAGTTCAGGACGACGGAATACACTCAAAATTTTTGAACTTGTAAATAACTGATAGTGTAATAGTATTTAATTTAGTTTTGATTAACTAAGTGTAAACATGTGCTAAAATGATTATACGAAGCAGTAATTTATATACTTCATCTTCTAAATTTAACTTTTTGTTTAAAAAAAAAACATGATTTTTTTCTCGAAGTTTCATTAGGTTTCAGTATAGCTTTACATAGTTTTCTCAAGGTTTCAAACATAAGGAACAATAATCAAAACATCCAATTGTGGGAGTTCGCTAAAAAGTATTGCCACAGTCGAGCTCTAAAAAAATTCGGGCGCCGAAAGATTTTCTGAATTTTACCATCACACTGAAACCTTACCATTAATACATTAGGGAACCTATTCCTTATGTTATTACTTGGGAAATATAATCCCTATCTTAATACATAGCTTGCAAACCGGATGCTCTATTCCCTATCTTAATACATGGAAGTGTGCACCAACCGCCTCCTCACTGTTCTGCTACTACTGCTAATTGTATTGCTGCGGGTTTTGTGTATACTCGAAGCATGTTTATCTCCTTGCGGTTGAGCAGTGAACTTCTTTCTGGCTAATTCTCTCCAGAAATTGTTATTTTCGAAACTAAGAAAGAAATAGATCTATTCTGTATAAAAAATACAAAAACAATCGGCTAGGTAATCTTTATAACTTTTCTATCTAGAAAAATATCCTTCGATGGGTATGGGTCGATTTAAAGCAGGCTTTCGTACAATTCCGTTAGATACTGCATATTTCAACGCTCCTACAGAATATCTGCCAAAAAAAAAGGTTGACTTAGAGAAAATCTTTGTTCCCTCTAGAATACAGGACTGGTCTAAGTTGAATTTTTATCTGCTTCTTGAAAATCTCGAACAAAAATTTAAAAAAATACTTTCAGGTCATCGCTTGAAGATATCATTTAGCCCCTCAGAATTCAAGATTTTGTGGCTGCACCGGACGCTTCATGTGTTTTATGGCGAAACCGTCAAAAACTTTCCGCGACAATTGATCCCTTTTGTGAGACTTTAAAGACTCTCAATTCTAGAAAATAACAATGATTGAAATATCAAACCGCTAGCCGCGGCCCACATTGGAAGCATATGGAGAGACTTGTATAAAAGTTCGATTTTTCCTGTTACAAATGCAGCTGCCTGTCCTCGGAAGCAGCATGCTAAACCGCTGAGCCCTTAAATTTGCAAAAATGAACACAGCATGTATTCTGATCCATTTGGAAAAACTCCACTTGAAAAAAACATCACTAATTTTACGGCCTGGAATGTTAGTAGTATATGAATGAGGAGAGCTAGGGGGGTAGAGGGTGACCCATAAATAGCATAAAACTAAACACTTTTTTTGGGGTTAAACTAACGTTTTTTTGCCGGTTTTGGTGGTGTTGTTGGTTTTAGTGGTTGGTTTGACCTGTCGTTTCGAGCTGAGGCAGCTAAAACAGTTGATGATTTTAAAACTACATTTTTTGTCTCAACGAAAAAAAAAATTTAAAAAATGCATGTCTTGGCAGTAAATTTTTATGAGTGAGCTACCAAAAAAAAAATCGGCAGCTTTCTAGAGCATAATTTGGTTCTAGAATTTAATCGATTTCACGAAAAAAAAGCTCGTTTGGCTTTAATTTGGAAAAATAGTTTCAATTTTTCAAAGTCTCAGCGAAAAAAAAACTAAAAACTATTGATGCTTTCCCTGATTATGTTTTCTAAAAATTTATTGAAATTCAAAGATTTTTGAAGAGCTTTGACGAGCTTAAATGACGTGATGGTACTTTTTACTGACCTTTTTTTTTCTTTACTGAAGATTTTCCGGCTCCGTTTTGTTTGTCAACTTTCGGTAGTTTATATATGTGGAATGGCTTGGGAAAAGTTACGCGACATGTGTTTGACGGACATTCTGGTACTTCATTGAGAATCATTCTTGTAACGCAGTTATTTTGAGAATACGGACCACAGATAAAGTGATTACATGGCAGAATTCTAGCGTCACTTCGCGGGTTAAAACTTTTCTTACAAAAGGAACATATCATGTCAACTCTCGGTAGATTATATGTGATGAATGGCTTGGGAAAAGTTACGCGACATGTGTTTGACGGACATTCTGGTGCTCGATTGAGAATCATTCTTGAAACGCAGCCATATTTAGAATACGGACCACAGATAAAGTGATTACATGGCAGAATTCTAGCGTCACTTCGCGGGTTAAAACTTCTCTTACAATAGGAACATATCATTTGGAACGGTTCCTCCACAACAACACTGCTCATTGAGTGACCCATATTAAACGAGAGCTGTAAGTGAAGAAAATTAGTTTTGCGTCAAATAACTTCTAGTTGAGCTTTCGTTTTTAAGACTCATACAAGTGCATGAAAACTCGTAATTCCGAATCATAATTTTCGAATTGTTGTTTGAAACTTATCAAAGCACGCTTTTTCTTTCAAAGTATTTGTAAAACGTAGTGATTAAGCCAAGTTCTTCAGCACCACTTTTCATTTATTCAGATGGACTGAAAACCAATTAAATCTAGAACTTTTGCCATTTGATATGCAGTTTTGCTGCAATCTGTAAATTACTTCTTCGTGCATACAGTTTATTGAGGCTTTAAAATGAGCAGCGAAGCTTCATGAAGCACCAATTTTACCAATAGCAAAACGACAAAAAGAGCAACTATTTATAACCTGAAGTTTTGAACAACACATTAACATATATGGTATGAGGCGGATCAGGATTTTTAAGAGGGGAGCAGATTTTCGAAAACTTCAGTAAACTTTGGTAGCCAGTTTTTTTAGGTATGTAAATAAGCTCAAATTTTCAAATACAAAATTTTACACAATCATAGATATGATAAATAACTTGCATACTTGCCCAACGAGAACTTGATGTGCTTAATATAAGTAAAAATATATTGAGCTCAAAATTAATAGAATGAGAAAAAAGTTTTCTTTAGGTGTTCATCTTCTATAAGAATTTATAGAAGGGCGTCTTATTCTTGAGTACGTTTTTTAGCATTTTATATCCGTAACAATTACACTGTTTGGTAACAAACCAGTTTCAGTGTAGAAATAAATAAATTTGTTTCTTAGTTAATTTAAAAGGGTTAATTGTAATGAAAGTCTAAGGTGGTATCGCAAAAGTACACGTTTCATAACGTACATTGTTTTCCAACTTCGTGAAATCTCGAGTACAAAAAATTTTTCAGCTTGCGTTTATTCCGTTAGACGTTTTGACAATTTCGGTTTTGGAAGTTTTTGATGACCATCTGTCGGTTTTGCTACTCTATTTGAATTCGTACTTCATTTGTTTACTGCAAATCTTTTCTAACTTCGTATTTTTTTGTTCAATTTTTGGTTTTCTCCTTATAAAATTGGAAATCCTATGATAGCTGCTTCAATTATTATGCAACGTTCGCTTTAGAATCAGTCTTCTGATAAAATTTTCATCACTCTTTTTAAGTACAGTTTGTAACTAACCCTGGTTGAGTTGTTCGACTTATGTTTCGACCAACTCGACCTAAAATGGCCATGTTTTGACCGACTCAGCCCAAAAGACTAGATTTGACCGACTGGACCAAATCGAAACGTGTTCGAGTGTTTTCGACACATGCTGTGTTTCGAAGGACTCAAACAAGTTTGCCATGTTACGACTGTCTCAACCTTAAAAAAATTGCTGTCAACTGTAATCGTCGCTACTAATTATCAAAAAAAATTCCCGTTAAATTTCCGACAAAAATTCTTGTTCTAGCAAGGCTTTGTTTCAATCAAGCCTTGTGTTCGGCTGTTTCGACTATCTAAGCAGAATCAAAAAAAGCTCTTCTAATTTCCTTCCAAGCTTTCTATACGAGCTTATAGAAACTAGCACTTTTCCTCAAGCGTTTAAAGCAGCCTTGGTAAAGCCGTAATTCTAGAAGATTAATTTGAAAACGGAAATTTTAAAATCCTACAGACTTCTAGTTTTTTTTATCAAAAGTTTAATTAGTTTACTGGGTCTCAGATAATCAGCTTATAGAAAGCTTTTCTCTACAGAGACAGTGATACTAAAATCAACCCTTGACATTTCACTTGAGCTGGATAAAGGAAAAGAAGTAGCTATTATCGCCCTAGACCTTACAGCAGCTTTGGATTCTTCTTGTATCAGTTATACTTATTTCTACTCGAGAAAAGTGAAGGTGTTTGAAAATCAACGAAAAATCTGATCTCATTATACCTCAGTAGTGGAACACAATCTGTCAAGATAAAGGAAGCTATATCGAAACCTCAAATCAATAGAATTTCACTAGGATCTTTGCTGGGACCGTTGTGCTGTGCAGAGTTTAATATTCGCTTTTTCAATCTGTATCTTTAAAAACTTGTTTGGTCTATTGAATTTAAGTAGAAGACACTTTGCTATACTGCAGTCTGTCCTCAGATCAGGTAGGTTTTGACAAAATTCAAATTGGATAAAATAAAAATGTTGATTGACTCGAAAACTTGAGATTCAAAACTAACACAGAAAAACGAAAGGCAGAAATCATTGTTATGCAAAATCCATGAAAAAAAAAGAAAACACAAACAACTGACAAGTTGTCAAAAATATTTCCCTTCCGATTTTTTGAATTCTTTTAAGTCAAAGGGAGTGATGTTTGAGGAAAACATGAAAATGGCGGAGCAAAGTCAACAGGTATGTAGAAGCTGTTAGTTGCAGCTGAAAAAGCTATAATCAATCCGTAAATATTTTAGTTTCTACAACCGCTACTGTCTGTTCCGAATGCTCAACTTCTCTAGGTTCTGTTAGTGCAATGCAAAAAACGGTTGAGTTTTATCACCAGAAAGAAGTTGATCTCTTAAAACTTGGATGTACTCTTCCAAACCTGGCAAATATTTTGCGAAAGTGATAGATTTCTGCGAGAAAATTAGAGAGGATATGACGGACCATCAAATGTGTTTACGCGGAAAGCTATTGTGGACAAAACTTTTATCAGATATTCATCAAATATCTGCAAATCAACCATTGGAATTGATGAGAGTCAACTCTATCCTTCTGCAATATGTCAAGATATGCCAACACGTTTGTACAAAAGATGAGAATTTGATTCAGATATGCAAAAACTCAAGGCTAGTTATACACAATCTTGCAATTTTGAGAACATGTTCATGTCTTAATACCAAGAAAAAAAGCAGAATGCAGAATTGAGAGAATCTGGAAGTGAAAAAAAATAGACTGTTTCAATGTAGATGGATATTGCAATCACTGTAAAACAGTGTTTGAAGCTATGAGATGCTATAACCTTTTCTGTCCCTGCCAAGACCAAGAGACTTGTCCCTCACTGAGCGATGTTGATGTCGAGAGAGGAAACAAAAGGAGAGAGCTGGATGACTTGAGACGTGAGTATATTCGGAAAAAAGGATACAAATCGAAGAGATGTGGGAATGTGAGTCGAGGCAAAACCTCAAAACGAACAAAAAAGAAAGAACCAAATCCGGTCCAACGTTACCTACGAAAATCTTCTCTCTACTGAATCCTTTTTGGAAAAAATAAAAGATAGATCCTTTTAAGGCTATATTCAAATTGACTTAGTTGTTCCAGTTGAACTGAGAGGAAAATTCGCTAATTTTTCTCAAATTTTCAAAAATACTGAAGTTGGAAGAAAAGATATCGGGGAAAACATGTGCAAAAATATGCCATTGAAAAGGATCTTCTTAAGCATCCCCAGCGACTGCTAATATCTGGTTCCAAACTAGAAAATGGTTCCATCATTACTACACTCTTCAACTTCAATATGGAACTTGGTTTACAGCGTACAAAAATTTACCGCTTTGTACAGTATCTCCCTCGAAAATGTTTCAACAAGTTTGTTCAGTCAGTTGTTGATATTAGAGGGGAAGGAGATGAGAACCCTTTATCTGGTGTTGTTGCAGAGACTAAGAAACTCCTAAGTAATTCATCCTACGTTTACAAGATAATAGATTGATCGATACATACGATCACAAAATTTATTTGATGAGAAAACCCACAAAGCAATTAATGAACCCCTGCTCAAACCAGTGAACACTGTTCAGAAAGACTTGTATAAAATTCAATTACTAAAGTCGACTTATGAGCACAAAGAACCCATATTTTCAGTTTTTTCATTCTGCAGTATGCAAGGCTGAGAATGCTTGAGCTTTAGTATAACTTTTTCGACAAGTTTTGCGATGTAAATAATTGTGAGGAATTAGAAATGGACATGCACACGCTATATTTAGCTGTTGCTGAGGAAAATCTTTATGGTTGTATTCGTCCGGAAAAAAAGATGACTGGGAAAAATAAAAAATGCTTGCAGAGATTCATTTAGAGTGGATTAAAAAACATTTTTTTCCATGAACATGTTGTAGCGTTCACAAGAAACACAATAAACGAGAGCCTGGACTGTTTAAAGAAGGATTTAAGTGTACGGAGATGCATTGCTCA